TGAGAAATGCCCCATGGTGCAATCAGTCTTAGGAATAGCTGGTAGCTGTCAAAGCCTGGGTGACATTTCTCTGGCAAATATGGCTCAGAAGTAGTTCATAGCTAGTGCCCAGCATATATTAGGAGCTTAATATATATTTTTAATCAGCAGCTGCCAGGAAATCCTGTGGGCTCAACCTTCAAAATCTATCTCTAACCTGACACTTAGTATCTCCTTTACTGCTGCATCCTGGTCTGATCCACCACTGTCTTTCACCTGGCTGCCTCTCCCAGCCTCCCAATTGGTCTCTTTCCATCTACCCTCAGCCCCTCTGTGTTTACTCTCAAAGCACAGCTAAAGGAATCCTTTAAAGGCAGAACTCATATTATACCTCTGCTCTTCTCAGAACCCTCTCATGGCTCCCAACTCACTTGGGATAAAAGCTGGAGTCCTTGGAATGACCAACAAAGTCCTTCCCTATTTTCTTGTGCCTTTCTGAGTTAATCTCCCACTTAGTTCCCTCACCTGTTCATGCTTTAGGGCTGCACTACCTGATTCATTTCCACTAGCCACATGCAGCTACTTAAATTCAACTAAAATTAAAAGTTGAAGGCTGGTGTGGAAGCTCACGCCTGTAATCCCAGCATTTTGGGAGTCCAAGGTGGGAGGATTGGTTGAACCTAGGAGTTCGAGACCAACCTGGGCAACTGTATTAGTCCATTTTCACGCTACTGTAAAGAACTATCTGAGGCTGGTTAATTTTTGAAGGAAAGAGGTTTAATTGATTCACAGTTCTGCATGGCTGGGGAAGCCTCAGGAGACTTACAATCATGGTGGAAGGCGAAGAGGCAAGCACCTTCTTCACAAGGCAGCCAGAAAAAGAGAGTGAGGGGGGAACTGCCAAACACTTTTAAAGCATCAGATCTCATGAGAACTCACTATCATGAGGACAGCATGAGGGAAACCACCCCAAGATTCGATCACCTCCCACCAGGTCCCTCTCTTGACACATGGGGATTACAACTGGAGATGAGATTTGGATGAGGACACAGAGCCAAACCATATCCGCAAGACTCTGTCTCTACAAAAACTTTTAAAATTAGCTGAGTGTGGTGGTGTGTGCCTGTGGTCCTAGCAACCTCTTGCCTTCATAAAGGTGGGAGGGGAGGCTGAGGTGGGAGGATCATCTGAGCTCAGGGATTTGAGGCTGCAGTGAGCCATGATTGTACCACTGCATTCTAGCCTGGGTGACAGAGCAAAACCCTTTCTTGAAAGAAAGAAGGAAAGAAAGGAAGGAAGAAAGAGAAAGAAAAAAGAAAGTTGATTCCCTCAGTTGTACTGGCCATGCTTTAAATGTTCAATTGCCACAGGAGACCAGTAGCTATTGTATTGCACAGCACAGGTAGAAAACATCATCCCAGAAAGTTCCATCGCGCAGTGACGCTTTAAGGACTTTAAACTATCTGGCGAGCTCTTTCCAAAGATAGCCGCTTGGCAAACTCTCTCAACTCCCAAATCTTTGTTCAAATGTCACCATTTCCAGGAGGCCCACACTGATCACTCAATTTAAGCCCAGCTCCCCACTGCAAGCATTCCTGCTCCCTTGCTCTGCTCACTTTTTTTCTATAGCACTTAACAGATTACAGTGTCTTATACAATATAATCATTTATTACACTCCCTGGTTACTATCAGACTCCCCCACCCTGTGAAAATGTATACTCCACGAATTGAGGGTTTTTTGGGTCCATTAGTGCCTGGCACAGAGTGGGCACTTGCCAAACATTGTCAGAAGAGTTAGTTAATGGATCAACACATTTGTTGGGCACCTGCTAAGTTCCAAGCTTTTTGCTAGACACTGGGGATACACAGAAAAACTAAAGAGAAATTGTTCCCACCTTTAGGAGTGTCTATTCTAGTGGGAGAAACAAGTAAACAAGTACCTAACACAAATTTTGGAAAGTCCTCTGAAAGAAACAAATAAGGAGAAGTAGAGAAGTGTGTGTGTGAGTGTGTGTATGTGTGGGGGGGCTGGGTAGGGAGGCTCTGATGAAGTCGAGCAAGCTTTGTAAGGAAAGTACAAGTACTGAAGAGTATTCCAGAGGAAATACTCTGTGTGGGGAGACCCTGATGCAGGCAGGAACACATGCATGGATAAGGGGATGTTGCTCAGAGATGACTGGTGAATCAGAATCATCACAGATCAGTCGCCAAGTGGGGGCTGCCTTTTATGGCAGTGCTGCTTGAACTGTAGTCTTGAATGGGCAGCATTATGTCATCTGGGATCTTGTTAGAAATGCAAATTCATAAGCCAATTGCAGCCCTGAGAATCTGTGTTTTCCCGAGCCCTCTGGATAATTCTGATGCGCCGTGTTCTGGAGCCCTGTATCCCTCTATAGAATCTAAGCACATGGTGATCACCCCGTTAACTATTGCTTGAATGAGTAAATGAATGAATGAATAAACGAGTAAATGAAGGGACAAGTATAAACCCACTCCCTGCCACTGTCCCCCATGCTTGTTCTCCTTCACGTTCCCATTCTTTGAAGCTCAGATGTCATTAGCATGAACACAAAGCCATACTTTCTTTGTTGAGCCAGAGGACAATCACTAAGTGCAAGAATGAAGAAAGAAATACCTGCGTGTCACAGGAATTAAGAGATATGAAAGGAGGGTGAAAGGCATTTCTGATGGGGGAAAGCAAAGGCTGAGGCTGGGAGGAGCATAGCTTACCCCGGGGAGAGAAAGAGGTGCTCAACTAGAAAAGGCTGTTTGTGTGAGAGGAAGTGGGGAGTACTCTGGAAGGTGGAGTAGTTAATGCCGGGACAAGTCTCTACTGTTGGTATAGGAAATACAAAGTAGGCGAGCGGAGCTGGTCTCTGAATGCTTTTAAGAAAGATAGTGTTATCACCTGCAAGCTATTGGAGTGATAAAACATAAAGTGGGCTTGGCATTGTGTAAAGCAGCCGTCCCCAACCTTTTTGGCACCAGCGACCAGTTTTGCGGAAGACAATTTTTCCACGGATGGGGGAATGGTTTCTGGATGAAACTGTTCCACCTCAGATCATCAGGCATTAGTTAGATTCTGATAAGGAGCATGCAACCTAGATCCCTCACATGCACAGTTCACAATAGGGTTTTTGCTCCTAGGAGAATCTGCTGTCGCCACTGATCTGACAGGAGGCGGAGCTCAGGCCGTAATGCTCCTGGCCTGAGCTCCTGGCTCACCTTCCTAACAGGTCTCGGAGGGAGAACCGGTACTAGTTCTTGCCCTGGGAGTTGGGGACCCGTGCTGTAAAGAATATCTTAGCTGTGCATTTTGTGTTTGACAAAGCAGGGAGATACTGTGACCCGCTAGTGCTTTCTGTGTGCCACACCCTGGTCTAAGTATTTTACATGCACAATGCTCATTTAATCCTCACAGTCCAATGAGACACCTACTCTGTATTACTTGACCAAGGACAGGATTGTGGCACAGAGAGGCTAAGTAACTGGCCTAAGATCACCCAGCCAATAAGTGGTAGAGCCCATATTGAACCCCGGGCAGTCTGGTTGCCCTATACCAGGCTGCCTCGACTATCCTGAGTCTAAAAGACCTTGGGAAGCAGTTCTCTGCCTTGCTCCTCACCTGTCCTGGTGGAGGCCCTCGTGGTTCTTCCTTCCCGGCTCTTCTTTCTCTCCTCTGGTTCTGTCCTCTCCACGGGTCCCATCGCTCTTTCCTTTACCTCATGGTTTCTGTGGTTAGTGTGTCAGCCAGTTAGTGTCGGCAGGTGTGTTAGTCTGTTTTTATGCTGCCGACAAAGGCATATCTGAGACAGGAAAGAAAAAGAGGTTTAATTGACCTTACAGTTCCACTTGGCTGGGGAGGCCTCAGAATCACAGTGGGAGGTAAAAGGCACTTTTAATATGGTGGTGGCAAGAGAGAATGAGGAGGAAGCAAAAGCAGAAACCCTAGATAAACCCATCAGATCTCAAGAGACTTATTCCCTATCATAAGAATAGCACGGGAAAGACTGGCCGCCATGATTGAATTACCTCCCCCTGGGTCCCTCCCACAACACGTGGGAGTTCTGGGAGACATAATTCAAGTTGAGATTTTGGTGGGGACACAGGCTAACCATATCAGCAGGAAAACTTCATGTTGTGCAAAAGGAGGAGGGAGCTATGGGCATAGTCCCAGGTCTGACGGGGTAGACTCAAATTTTGTGGAGCCTGAAGTTCATACTTAAAGGTCTTCTTTAAGAAAAAGCAAACAAAAATGTCTTATTGCTGCAAATTTTACAAAACCATTGACCAGGTGAGTCATGCCTCACCCTACCCAGGGTTCAGGAGGGGGCCTCATTAGCTTCTCAGAAAACCTAACCTGCCTCTGGGCCTGGGCCTGGCTATTCTAGTCACCCAGGAGGGAAAAGTCTATAGGACAAGCGTCTCTCTTGCTAATCCTGAGCCCCACCCAAAGCAAAAGTCGAGCGCATTAGGCTGGGTGCAGTGGCTCACGCCTGTAATCCCAGCACTTTGGGAGGCCAAGGTGAGAGAATCATTTGAGGTCAGGAGTTCAAGACCAGCCTGGCCCACATGGCAAAACCTTGCCTCTACTAAAAATACAGAAGTTAACAGGTGTGGTGGTGCATGTCTGTAATCCCAGCTACTTGGGAGGCTGAGGCACAAGAATTGCTTGAACACGGGGAGTGGAGGTTGCAGTGAGCCAAGTTCACACCAGCCTGGGTGACAGAGCAAGACTCTGTGTAAAAAACAAACAACAACAACAAAAAAACATATGCTCCTGGAATCTCTTTTTGCCTCCCACCAAAGCCTTGGGGTGGCCCTTTTATCACTGTAGCTTGGAAAGGGCAAGAAAACTCCATCTGCCTCATTTAGGAAAGTAGTCGTTTATTAAAGCGCAAGGTGGTGGGTGGAGGGCTCTGGAGTGTTTGAATCCAGTTAGGACCCCCACTGCTGTAAATTGAGACGTGTGAACTGCCTGCCGAAAGAGGAGCTGGCGTTTTCCTGGCTGGGCTCCAGGGGACAGGCTGTCATCAGCTTCAGTGAACGATCCCAGCTCCTTTCCCTTTGCTGGCTTCGTACTTATTTTAGTCTGTTCTGCGTGCATTTCGTAAATAAGGTTCAATCAAGGAGTGACCTGGCTTCTGCCTCAGCAAACAAAGCCTGGGTGACATCGAGACTCTGTGTTAAAAAAAAAAAATTGGATTTTTTAAATGGTAAGTAATTTATTAGTTCAGAACTAAATATGAGCTTCTGTAAACAGGTCTTTCCCCAGATCACCATTTGGGCTAGCAGGGCGAGCATGCCAGAAGTGGGTTTTAGCCAGTCTTTAAGAGGGAACACAATCAGGGTGGCTTTAGAAACATTAATTGGGAGGTTTCATAGGATAGCTTCAGCCAGGAGGGGCAGAGAGACGAATCAGGTGGTGGAGGAGAAACCTGAGGGTGAGGGGATGAGGGTGAAGTGGGGGAGTCATGGGTGGGGAGAGGGGACTCAAGCCCATGTGTTTTCTTTTTTTTCCCCCTTTTTATTGCATTTTAAGTTTTGGGGTACAACCCATGCATTTTCTATCATCATGACCTTCTAGCTTTTTTTTTTTTTAAATGAGATGGAGTCTTGCTCCATCGCCAGGCTGGAGCACAGTGGGGCGATCTCGGCTCACTGCAACCTCCACTTCCTGGGTTCAGGTGATTCTCCTGCCTTAGCCCCCTGAGTAGCTGGGGCTACAGGCACTCACCACCATGCCCAGCTAATTTTTGTATTTTTAGTAGAGATGGAGTTTCACCATGTTGGCCAGGATGGTCTCGATCTTCTGACCTTGTGATCCGCCCACCTCAGCCTCCCAAAGTGCTGGGATTACAGGTATTAGCCATCTCACCCGGCATAACCCCCTAGGTTTTAATGAATGAATGTGCCACTTCAAAGGGGGTGATGATGTATGGTCCCAGCCTGGCTGCTGTCAGCTTCACTGTGTGGTTGTCAACTTACACTGCCAACTTCACCAGGATTCTCCAGGGGCTAACATAGGCATTAAAAGCACTCACTTGATATTCAAATATTCCCTTTTTCCATTTTCTTCTCCCTCTGCCTCAGAGGAGATTGACTGTAAATGGCAACTTCACAGACCGTCCTGAGTTGCACATTGAAGCGAAGCCAGCAGTCCTGGGATTTACAATCATAACCTCTTGGAACTGAACTATTAACGAATCCAAACACGAGTATATTAAGTCACCAACCCTGGCTTGAGCAATTACCGACGTCTCCTCTTCAGTCAATAATTCTAAAAATGGTTTGAACTGCTGCTTCTTTAATCAGATCTCAAGCTTGGAGAGGCTGCGTCTCCCTTTTCCCTGAAGATATTGCAGGAGCCGGAGTGAGATGTCTCCCTTACCCCCTCCGCCCCAGGAATCATGTGACTAGTTTGAAGTCTGAAGATGGAGAGGCTGAAAATTAAGTGTTAAATGATCAAGTTTCTTGAAATGTGTCCAGTCTTTTAAGAAGTACCATGTTGGCCAGGTGTGGTGGCACACACCCATAATCCCAGCACTTTAGGAGTCTGAGGCAAGAGGATTGCTTGAGTCCAGGAGTTCAAGACCAGCTTGGGCAATAGAGTGAGAATTTAGTGCCACAATTTTTTTTTTTTTTTAATTATCCAGGCATGGTGGCGTGTGTCTGTAGTCTCAGCTACTTGGGAGGCTGAGGCTGAGGTGGGAGGATGGCCTGAGCTTGGGAGGTCAAGGCTGCAGTGAGCTGTGATCACGCCTCTGCACTCCAGCCTGGATGACAGGGTGAGAAATTGTCTTAAAAAAAAAAAAAAAGAAAGAAAAACCACGTTATTTGAACAAGAAGAAGCAGAAGCAGCAGAGCAACAGGCAGAGTTCACCTAGAAACTGAGATGATAAGTGAGTTGTAAAAGAAATACTTGTTGAAGGTAACAAGTTAATAAGGCAGACAGACCTTGAGGGCAGGATTTGTTCTGATCCAGGTCACGGTGCAGTGAATACTGGTCCTGACTCTGAATGTATGAGCCTGGCCTGGCACATCTCCCTTCTGAGTCAGGCTGCTCTTGATCAGTGGCTGCTGAAGAGTCAGGGCGGGGGTTGGAGGTGATGGATGCACAACGTTAAGCAACATCATGAGAAAGGGATTCTTTCCTTCTTCAGGCAGTGTCTGGCTCTGTTGCCCAGGCTGGAGTGCAGTGGCTCAATGTCAGTTCATTGCAACTTCTGCTTCCTGGGTTCAAGCAATTCTCCTGCCTTAGCCTCCTGAGTAGCTGGGATTCCAGGTACCTGCCACCAAGCCCGGCTAATTTTTGTATTTTTAGTATAGATGGGTTTCATCATGTTGGCCAGGCTGGTCTCAAACTCCTGGGCTCAAGTGGTCCGTCTGCCTCAGCCTCAGTCTCCCAAGTAGTTGGTATTTATTACAGGCATGAGCCACTGTGCCCAGCCAATGTTTGGTGCCAGACTGGCTGGGCTTGAATCCTGGCCTTACCATCTACTATGTAAGTGACTATGGGCAAGTTACTTAATCTCTCTGTGCCTCAGTTTCCACATTTCTCAAGGTGATAAGATTGATACCTGCTGTTTGGGGTTGTTGTGAGAGCTGTGCCTGGCACAGAGTTCTGTGTAAATGTTTCTTGTTAATGATGATGAATTCACTTTTAATTCTGATTTAATAAAGAGAAGGTCTCAGCTTGGTCCTAATGTTTCAACAACCTCTCTTGGCACTTGCTAATCTCCTTTTAACAGAGAACAGGGATTAATTTGTGAGTTTTTCATTATATTTATTTTATGGGTTATCTCATATTTTGGACTTATATGGCAAGTGAAATTGGTTTTCCCTTTTATAACAGTGACATAAAGTTGTTTTTAGAAAGTAACTTTATTTGAATACAGTGTGAGTTGACTTAAGCAAAAAGTATTAAGAAAATTATAAATGTAAGTGTGATATGACAAAGGCAAAAATTCTGAAGGTGGGACCCAGGTGACAGAAGTTTGGGAAGCAGTAGACTTGGAATCTCCGTGCAAGCGTCTTTCAAATGAGGATACTCCTGGGCATTTCTTTCTTTCTTTTTCTTTTTTTTTTTTTTTTTGAGATGGAGTCTTGCTCTGTCGTCCAGGTTGGAGTGCAAATGGCATGATCTGGCCCACTGCAACCTCTGCCTCCTGGGTTCAAACAATTCTCCTGCCTCAGCCTCCTGAGTAGCTAGGACTACAGGTGCCCACCACCACTCCCGGCCGATGTTTTGTATTTTTAGTAGAGACGGGGCTTCACTGCCTTAGCTGGGATGGTCTTGATCTCCTGACCTCGTGATCTACCTGCCTCAGCCTCCCAAAGTGCTGGGATTACAGGCGTGAGGCACGGTGCCCGGCACCCCTGGGCATTTTTATATTCAGGAGGAAGATTCAGCAAGAAGCGTCTTCTGGCTTCCGCCTGCTTCCTTTTGCTCTTCCATCTGTATATGGCCACAGAGATGAGTCACTGGATAAGTTCAGTGACTGCCCCATACCATGGCCACACCCTCCCTTTCCCCATGATACTGCAACCCTCTGACTCTGGGATGGGGTTCCCAGAAGAAACAGGCAGACTGGTTTTTTTTTTGAGATGGAGTTTCACTCTTGTTACCCAGGCTGGAGTGCAATGGCACGATATCAGCTCACCGCAACCTCCGCCTCCTGGGTTCAAGCAATTCTCCTGCCTCAGCCTCCTGAGTAGCTGGGATTACAGGCATGCACCACCATGCCCAGCGAATTTTTGTATTTTTAGTAGAGACGGGGTTTCACCTTGTTGACCAGGATGGTCTTGATCTTTTGACCTCATGTTCCATCCGCCTCGGCTTCCCAAAGTGCTGGGATTATAGGTGTGAGCCACCGCGCCCGGCCCAGGCAGACTCTTCATGTGCATGGCATCTGGGGAGTCACATGACAACCGAGCAATTTAGATCATTTAGACCCATTGTAGACAAAGGATGCAGTTTTGGTTAAGCCTGAACCCATCGCTTCCCTTTCCAGGCACCAGATTCCTTCACGCCTCCTGAATGAGAAAGAAAGCAGGTCTGCCAAGTCTCAGGAAGGCAAAACGAACATCAATAGCTATTTCTATAGAGGGAGGAGACTGGGTGAAATTAGATGACAGCATAAGGACCTGAAGAACATGTTTTTAGGCATCATGGGCAAATAAACAGAAAAAGATGGAAATGTTAAATTCTGAACATTTTAAGCTGAGTAATTACAGAGAAACAGGTTTGGGGCCCATGTAAGGAAGATTTGGGTAGCATAAGCCATAAATTCGTGGATCATATGGGTGGTTGAAATAAAGGCCTTTAACGAGACCCCCAGTCAGAGAATCTGTTTCTACAGTTCTGGATCTCGGGCCTCCAATTTCAGCTTTCCACGGGAAGCCATCCAAGGGCGGTTTGTCCAGCTCTGAACTAGGCCTGTCTGAGGACAGGTAGGCTGCGATCTCCACCAGAATGTCCTTCTTTTCTCCATATCCCTCCCTATTTGCACCTTTGGTATTCCTATTACATCGGTCCCTGGGTGAGAAACCTTTTGGGCTACAGTTCAATTTCCCTTCTCTTTCATTTCTTCTCCAGACAGTTACTGACTCCTCAAATGTTTTCTGTGTGATTACTGTGAGTTCAGTGCCTTTCTGTTCTCATTCACACTGCCCTCTTCTTCAGTAAATATCAAGTGCCTGAGGCGTGTTGGAGCTAGACTTGTGTCACCTCATGCCTGAATCCTTGATTTGGAGCCCCCATAGGGTTAAGTGTAATCAGTGCTCAGGAGGTATTTACTGAATTGATATAAGGGTGTCTCAGTCTTCTCTGTCCTGTTGCAGACGTTTTTCTTGGCTTTGTGGGACGGCAAAGCTCTCATGAAACCCTGGTCTAGTGGGAATCCCTAGAACTTCCCTGAAACTGACATCCTCATCAGGCCTGGGGATCCACTCCTAGCCCTTCCCTGTCTTCCTAAAAAATTCTAAATTGGGAGGATGAGAGGAGAGCTGGACAGCTGTGGACTTTAATTCACTGAGTGCCCAGATGGCTAAATACGCGAAGGTATGAATCTGCAGCAGCTGAGGAGTGAAGTTATTGTGGGCTCACCCAAGATGCTTTGCCTTAACTCTTTGATTTTCAAGGTAATCTAGCGCGTTTTTTTTTTTCTTTAATCAGTTGGCTTTTCAGATAATCTTTTTCCATTGGGAGGATATAAATATTTTTAGTACTAAAGGTAATTGACAAATCATATGGAAATATTGATGTATCCAAATTCAATCCGTGTATGAAGAAATACCTTCATGTAAACGGGGTGATTTATTCTAGATAGATATATTTATTTCTTGCTCATTGAATACGTAATCAGACCAATAATGCTGTGAGTGCACATTTGAGTTAAGGGGAAGAAGCCTCTTAACTTTCCATGATACAGCTTTCACTAGAATCCCCTCATGGTAAATACTTTTATTCTAGAATAATATGCCTTAGTGTTTATGAAAAGATTTCTTATTCAACAGTAAAATGCTTGTATTATTTTGATTACATTCTTAGTCCTTGGTAATTGTCTCATTTTTCTTTCATAAGAGGGACTCAGACACCTAACACAATTGTACCTCGACACCAATTCAGCTCATTATGAAGAATTCTGCCGATAGAATTCAGTGAGTTGTGACTATCTTATTTGCCCACGTTTAGTTTTCTCAAATCGTCTGTAATTCATAGGTAGCACAGATGTTCCCAACTGCTGGAAAATGAAGCTTGAAGTTCAGGCAGATAAGGAGAAAAATATCTAATTCAAATTCCAAGAATTATTTGACCTAAATCAATTTCAACTTGAGAAAATGGGGTCAACTCTCTGTACCCCACAAGAATCACCCTGGTGATTAAAAAGTAAATGTTGAAGAATTAAATTATGTTGCTGTTCAGCTTTCATATGCACACTTAGGAAAAAAAGCCAGAGCATCAAAGGCTGTTGGAATAACTCAATTTAGTGATGGTGGCAGAGCGCTGCTGAAAAAGAGCTTTCTAGGCAGTGAGCTTTGCTCGGGGGAACTGCTGCACACTTCAATTTGTATCTGAGAGAAAAGGAGAGGTCTTTCAGATGAATAATTTTATGACTTTCAACCACACACATACAGCTTGAATATCAAATTATTTTAAATGAGAACTTCAAAAAGATCCACCTGTCAAATGAGTAAAAAGCCCCAAACAGTTGCCTAACAGAACAAAGAGATTTGGATTCAAATGCCAGAGATGGGACGAAGTGGGACTGTATTGTGCTAGCCTCCCCAAGACACATGTACAAGGTAGAGTTTGCCCTCTGATGGATGTGGGGTTTCTTCATCCACTTGGGCTGCTATGACAAGATACTTTGGGATGAGTAATTTATAAACAACAGAAATTTATTGCCCACAGTTCTGGAGGCTGAGAAATCTAAGATCAATGGAAGGGGTAAACAGATTCTTTGTATCTCTCTCTC